GTTACAACATCAGGGAGGAGGGGGAGGCGAAAGGAATACATAGACGCTGTCAAGTAGCAGCCGAACGAGCAAGGTGCGATCGAATCTTCTCAAGACCCGCCCTATCAAGGCTATCCTTAAACCGGCAGGAGCAGAGGTCAAGATCACTAATAGTTCTTGTAATCACCTCAATCGGTTTAACATGACCACAAAACATAATGTTCTCAATCTTACTCTACAACAAACTTATTGCTCAAACCCTGGATCTGAAAACCCCAAGTTAAGCAAGCTACACAGGTCCCTGAAAGTGAGGAATTGAAATCAATGTTCACATAATGGAGATAATGATTCATTTATTTATATTTTATACATGCAAAACTTCACTAAAATTAGATGGTAGCTAAACTAACCTAGTTAAATAACTGAGACGAAATGTAAAGTTACTTTTATCTTAGGATTCAAATCTTTTGGGCACTCCATGGGAATAGTAGGTGTGGCCCTAGATAAGTACCTGATTTATTTTTTACTAGGAATGTTGCAAAATATATTCGACATCCATGTTTACAGCGACTCAAATCAATCGTGCATCCAAGTGGAGAACATCTGCATGCACGTGGAATATTTGCATTGTTACGATATCTGAATGGATATGGATATCACCGTGCCAAAGTGAAAAGGTAAAACCCTGCTTTCACCTTCTTCTTATCTGAAAGACACACACATACTTGATATATATTCTCTCTTGTAAAAAAGAGTGAGGATTTTCCATCACCAGAGTATAATTGACTAATTGCTATAGGTGAAAAATGTACTACAGTAAAAAACAGCTTTCAACTTAAAGACCATTTTTCTGTGAACAAATTCTTCGAAGATATTTCCATGCAAGTCGAGCTCTCGGCTCATGCATGCATTTATCTATTTTATATACATTTTTGTTTTACAAAGTAAATTAACTAGTTTCTAGGTAAGACCGGCTCTTATGAGGTGTCATGTGGAGTGTGGATCTGATCAAGGCACTAAGCAGGGAATTTAT